GTGTGTGTGTGTGTGTGTGTGTGAATGAAGAATCATGTGTCGTCTCCTGTAAAGAGAGTTGAAGAGAGGGACAGGGAGGACAGTAAAAGAGATTGAGCGAGTAGGAGTTTAAAAGTTTAAAAGACCAAATAATATCACCAAATAATAAATTTTGTACTTTTACTCTTTGTACTTACATCTCTTGCAGAAACCCTATATGGAGAGAGGGCTGTTCCTCTTTTTTCCCACTTTACTAGCGTGGGCTGAGGGAGTGAGCTCTAAAAATAAAACATATGTTCCTTCAGGTCTGTGGGAGCAGGGGCCCCCAGCGTATTGTTTTGGGATATGGGGGAGGACAGGGAGGATCTGGCCTGGAGAGAGATACTGTGGATACAGAAAGAGAGAGAAAGAGGGAGAGCGGAGGAGGGGGCTGAGACTCAAGGCTGCTGTACTTTCAAGAAAAGAGTTGAGGAGATACGGTTCCTCTCAAGCAAATGCGCTTAAGCTCTTTTGTAATGTACACCTACATGTCAAGTGGAAAGTAAACTGAAATCTCTCTTCTTTCCTGTATCCACGAGGTTGAAATGTAGGGCAGTGTGTTTGTGTGTGTCACTTGAAGGGGCCTGTCTGAGATGGGGTGAGGGGTAGTCAGGATTACTGTCCATAAGGCTGAATGCACCCCAGCTGAAAAGGTGCATCTCTGAGCCTTTTTATTGATTCCCAAAGCCCTCGGGGAGCCAGCGGGACAAGGGTTAAGAGTGTCTGAAGGGGCAGTGTGCTTATGTATATGCATACTGAAAAAAATGTGTGTCTGTGTGTGTGTGTGTGTGTGTGGGTGTGTGTGTGTCTGTGTGTGTCTGGTGGGAGAACTGAATCGAAGGAGTGTATCCATCAAGCTAAAGAGCGCTCTTAGTGAGGAAGGAGTTAAAGCCAGCTGACTGAGATGTGTGTGTGTGTGTGTGTGTGTGTGTGAGGGGGGGTGGGTTTGCACAGAGCAGAGCAGGGGAAATGAAGGGATATTAAGGCAGAAATAAGCACGAGCACCGAGAGCACTGGATATATCACGTGTCTGGATTTAGCACCAGCCATCTTACCTCCTACTGCTGTATCTTTGCAGACTGTTCAGCAAAGTGGAAGAGGAGTGGGGGAGGAGTGTGTGTGAGTGCACAGATCGGTGTGTGTGTGTGTGTTTGTGTCTGTGTGCAAGAAAAGCAAGAGTTTAGTGAGAGAAATGCAGACATTAAGAGAGAGAGCAAGAAAGAGCGAACCAATGATGGTAATCAATGATATAATGGCACAGATGAAATGTATCTGTTCTTAAAATATATCTTTTTACATTAGTGAGTCATGTGGTGCTATTCTCATACAGCACCTCATGACTCAGTAAAGTAAAACACTTAAAATGTTGAGCATGTTAATATGATTGCACAATCACAGTGGGAAAGCAAATACATGACTAAAGTACTGCACCTAAGTGGAATTTGGGTACTTTACTCGAGCATTTACATTTAACGCTACGTTATATCTCCACTACATGTCAGAGCTAAATACTTTAAAAAAAATGCTTTTTACAATGTTTACAATATTTTACAGCTGTAGATACTTCTCAGATCAACATTTAACATATACACATACAGTTTATATATGATGAAGTCTATTTTTTATAGATTAAATAATTAGGTAAGCATTTTATCTCAACCAACTATAACATTATTTGTCTGCTATAATGATCCAATACATTTTAATATATCACTCAAAGACAATGATTTTTCTTTATTGAGTTCTTGTTTTTTTTATATTTTGAGGACATATTGACAGTACTTTACTTTTGACAATACAAAAGTAACATTTTGAATTCAGGACTTTTACATGTAACTACTTTTACTTACGAAAATGATTTGAATACTTTGTCCCTCATTGGTATTCCATACGAGAAATCACATTAATTGTGTTAAAGTAACTTCAAACTGAACTTTAGTTTTTTAAAGGGTTTATGTCTGAATTCACAAAATAAATAGATAAATAAAATGGGTTCTTTACATGAATATTTCCATTTCATGCCACTCAATACTTCTACTCAGAGGAAAATGCCATATAAATAAAACTTGACACATAAAGAGTTTATAAAATAAGTGAAGGATCTAGAATATTTGCTCGTTCTAGTTTTACAGTCAAAGGTATGAATACTGGGGGTAAGTGAAACAGTACACACCCTGGATAGTAAGTAAGTCAACTATGCATGTGATGCTCTGTCACCGAAGGGGCGTGTCTTGGAGGCGTGAAACTCCGGGGAGTGTCTGCGCTCAGCCAATCACATTTGAGTCGTGTGTTCTGTAGGCGTGGTGTCTCCCCTTCCCCGTCCCAGCTGCGGCACGCTTTTGTTCAAAAAGTGGCTGCTGCACAGAGGTGCGCTGCCACATCTCACTACCCACAGTCTGTTGTTCTTAGCGACAGAATGGCTTCTCCCAGACACATCCAACCCCGCATCTTCAACTTCCTGGTTTGGATGTCAAATTAGTTTTTGTCTTTTTACAGTTCTTCAAGCAGGCAAGTGGAGACCTGGAAACTGGTGAAGGATTTCCCCCCCCCTGAATCATTTCTCTGGATTGTAAAACTGCCGCCGTGTATGGTTCCCAGACACTCACCATGTTTTCTGACAGAGGGGAGACAGCGATCTAATGCTTCCCTTCATCCTCCTCCTCCTCCTCCTCACCGGACATCTACGGGAGAGGGTGTCCCGTCTGCTCTCACGCAGCTCCTGGAGTTTACTCGCGTGAAAAACTCAACCTGGAGATAACAGAGAGAAAAGCACTTAAAGACCCACGAAAGCTCTTTTGAATGCCTTTGCAAGGACTTTGTTGGTTTCTGTGCTGCAGGCAGGGCTTCAGTTTGCTCGGACGCGACTATGGGGAGAAAGAGGAGGAAGAGTCTTTCGAATTGCGCAACAAGGAGGACTTGACTCCCAATGGACGGGTAAAAACCAAACGCTCCACCTGCATGCACTGTATTCAGCTGCTCCCGTGCACTACACACGCACACCTAGAAATGTCAGATAGTGAGTGTAAAAACGAACCTGTGCTTCCTGCATATTGTTGCACCTTGAGCAATTCATAAAACAGGGTCAACTTAATTTCAGTTTTGTGCAAACAGATGTGGCTGCAGCCCTTGATAAGAAAGTGTCATTCTACTTTTGAAAAGTCAACATGTATTGATATTTCAAGAGCTTGTGTTCACAGCACAGCCCCGGTTTTGAAGAAGCAAGCTTTCAGTATTCACATGCTCTCTGTTAACTTCGTTATTTGTTCTGTGCAAGCCTCTATGGCAGACTTTGCTGCTGCTGCTCAGTTTGACGTCAAGGTTTGCATGGTGTTGCATGGAAGAATACACACACACACACACACACACACACACACACACACACACACACACACACACACACACACACACACACATACACACACACAGAGAACACCCATTGACTTGACAATGCACTGTGGCTCAACATTGACCTTAATACCCCTAACCTAAATGTGATTCTTAACCCTCAAACTGAGGTACTGGTTGTTATACCCTTAAAATGTTCTGACAACAGTGGTTTCCAACCAAATTGTGTCCACAAAACCATAGAAGACGCACACTCACGCACGCACACACACACTCACACAATGATGCAAGCTCCAAAGCCCAGTGTGTTGAACTGATCCTGTTTGTTTGGCCCTCGTCCACTCAGTTGCAAGTAAGACTGTGGCCTTGTCTTCTCTGTAATGTTAGTCATCTGATCAGCGACAGAGAGTTCAGCATTGTCCATCCACTTGTGAGGGTGCATTGTTGCCTTGAATTGAGGTAGGCTCGTTCTTTATGACACGACCTGCTGCTCTTTATGTGCAGCTTCACAGAAAAATCTACCCGCATGTAATCGTGGAGTCTGGGAGCATTTCCACACATCATACTCTGTGTTCACATAGTTTTCTTCATCTTTATGCAGGTGAAAGTAATAGCCTGCAAGCTGGAGCCTCTAGGGCTTATCTATTTATTGGCCCATTTATCTGCTTGCAGCCAACCTGTGCAACACTGCAGCAATGTGCATGAAAATGTTGGGAACAGATAAGTGTTACACGGCCAATGCCTCAACAGAAGTCCAACACAACCAGGAGCAGCCAGATAAAAGCAAGTGCTCTGGGGGTATCCACAGAGGTGTTGGTGTGGAGCACACTTCTCTTTGGCAAACATTCAATGTAGCATCTGCCTGACCATCGGTGGTCAGACGAACCAAACTGGGCTTCAAATCTGTAATCAATATGAGATCATAGTTACATGGCTCAGTGAAGAAATCTTTTAAAGCAAAACAGAGATCTCATTTCCCTATAGCTTCCCCAGATCTCTCCTTAAAATGGAAGCTATACCCCAAAATGTGCTCCTCTGGGTGGATACAGTTTAATGTTAGTTTAATATATTTTAGGTGTGTTGTTTCGAGAAGTATGTGCTCAGTGAGATGACCTTGACTTAAGGATTATATTCAGGTCTGTGTGTAAACTCTAGAAGATAAATATGAGCTGCTCCCCCTCCCCTGAAGCAATGTTACACCACTGATAGTTCTGGCCTTGGTGCTATTTATATCTTTCTCTTCAATAATCATAAATATGAATTAATTGTCCTTGTCCATAAAAATGACAGTCTTCTTTTAATCATAGTGGTATATTTTCCTTTGAAGGGCGCTCCTGTCTAATCTATCATGTTCAGTTTATCAAATTAGTTCTTATTAGGAGAAACCACCCCATTGACTGATGCAACATATGTTTTACCAAGTGACCAAAGACAGGAAATGGCCTTTTGGAAAATTCTTTTTGTTACCCAGTGTCCTTAAGTTATTGATTATTGATTCCTTGAAATCAATCCACTTCCACAAATCCTGTTTCCTTTTGATCTGTGTCAGTGGTTAATGCTGGGTATTGTAACCCTGTTTCAATATTGTACACTTTGCCAATAATTAAGACCACAGTCAAACAACTCTAAGCCAATATCATCATCAGCTGACCCACTCTTATTGAATTTCAGTTGGTTATGCTCCCCAGAGACCCCCCCCCCCCTCCAAATATACAGATGTATCAAATACTCTTTGGCTTTTGATGGTGTCAACGGAGGGGGTGGGTGTTGGAGATTCACAGGGTAAACCCCTTAGGGCTACGTTCCATCGTTTTCCCAAAGAGCTTAGTATGGACTCTGTCCAGCTACTGCCAGTGATGGCCTCAGCAATCTGCAGGTCTGGTGGAGGTCTCCCTCGCTTAAGACATCCAAAACTTTAACCACAATCTCCAGACTTGTTTTCCAACCTGCTGCCAGAGGATGCCATGATTTGCCGCATCCACAGCACCAAAGCCAACGGTGATGCACAGTCCTTGCCAGGACTGTTCTCACTGAGGTTGGAATCATGAGTCAGTGCTGACGTTTGTGTAGGCTTTGCCCTTAAGAGCACGGGGCCATGTCAGAACTCTTCTCCCTGCGTGTTTACAGTCCCCATTCAATGAAGCTGCTCTCCAGCAGCTGCCCAAACAGTGAGAGCTGAATGCCTCCTGTGTTAGGACAGCACCGCACTAATTTTAGGACGGGACATCCGTCATTCTCTCTTCTTTCCATTTCCACTGAAATTTCAATCAACTTTTATCCAAGGTGAAGTCACATTTACCCATAAAGTAGCGCCATCCTGTGCAGTTGTAATTGTGGATGGGAGCACCACAGTGCATCCTGTTGCTTGGAACAAACAGACATAGTCCCACCATGCTGAAAGTGGGTCCCAATAACCGTCACTACTGCCCTCTGTCTTCAGAGGTGTCATGGTACGCTGGTTTATATTTGGTTTCCGTTGCGTCTCTGCCTCACCACCTCCAGGCCACACATCTGGTCTTCAGGCCGACACTGGCTGAGCCCAAGCATTTCCTCCTGGTTACTCAGCCTCCCAGGAGAGCTGAAGGGAGAGAGAGAGAGAGAGAGAGTAGACAGAGGGAAAGCGAGAGCGGAAGTCAGCCACGGAACAAACACATCACAGCATCTTTCCCTCTTTCCCTCCATGCTCTGTTCTAGTCTGGAGTGATTCATCCACTGCCCGTCCAAAGGGGGAGCTTTTGCCAGGGCTCTGCATCGCACGCTATCCTCACTCCTCATCCCACACCCCATTAACTCATTGGAAAGCTATATTTCTGTAAATTGTCACATTTTGTGGAGAACTGCCCAGGTTTTTGTAACTCGATCAACCTGGGCCATTAGTTTATTGATTGCCTGATTAGTTTATTTCGTGGATTTACAGCTTTACAGTCGTTGATGTGATTACTATTGATTTGTCGCTTTCAGTCATGGCTGTCTGTCTGAATTTTCTTCTCTGGGGCTTTTGGCTCGGCTGAATCATTTATGGTTAACAGACAGGGGGAGGGAATTACCGTACAAACTCTCTTCCATTCACAAGTCGGTTTCTGGTGCTTCTCAGTTATTCTTGCCCGTCTGGTTTGACATTTACAGTATCTCTGCCTTGGTTAAACATTAATTGCCTCTCATTATCCAAACCCTCACCTCTCCTCATTTGCTTCAGAGTCCATCTGCCTTGTAAATATGACACAGATCTCATTGTAGCCTATAAATTTGTAGTTCATGTTTTCTTTGTTAGTTTTGAGCCATCCAAAAAGAAGCTGTTTTTACAGGGCATGGGCTATACTTAGGCTAGTTTGCCCAGTAGTAAAGTGTGGTGTGTGTGAACTGCGAGGGGCCCAGATCTGACCTGGATAGTGTTTCAGGTAGGCCAATACTCCCAAGCTGGGCCGGAGCACCCACAGGAGCTGGCTCAAGGCTGTGGCTCACAGAGACAACAAGTCAGGCCACGGGGACTCACAGTCCTGCCTGCCTCACACACAAGGGAATCAGTCCATATAGCTCTCGGGCAAACTCTGATGTCTGTTGGGGTTTTTCCAAAGTCAGGTTGGGGAACTAATGGCTGGGGCACAGTGAAAGGAAACATCCTATCCCATCCTCTGTTTAACAGGGGAGTCTTGCAGTGAAAAGTTCATTGTTCCACCAGTGAAATTTGATTTTACATATCTGCCAGTGGCAGCCTAATTTGTAGCCTGTAGAAGCACTAACTCCAATTTCCATACAAAACTGAAGAGGGAATGTGATTTGATATTTTAGCTGGCTATAGCAGACTGGATAACTTACCTCACTTTTATTGCTGTGATTTTCAGATCATTATAAGCACACCTACATATCTTTATTTATAGAATTCCCCCTTGGCAGTCTTCCTGTTTTCTTTAATCTGACAGCCTTTTACCATCAACTTACGTCTCTATATACTTGTGGGTAGAAACGATCAAGGCAGCTGTTCCTGCGATGAGTCCAATCTCAAAGACCGGGTTTATTTTTAGGTTAACAACCTTCTCAGAGAAATGACTGATCACAATAAAAGCATTTTGGGGTTTGCACGCAGCTACGGCACAAAAGATTCCTCTGTTCCTCACTCCTATATTAAATGAGCTTGTTTTGCATGCCATATTTCTCCCCACCAGCTCACCTCGTTGCAAGTGAGAGCCAAGCATTACAGGAACAGAGCAGCTATGTGCTGCGACTGCCAGGAACGGCTGCATGGTCTACTGTAACATGGCCACTGAAGGCAAACCATTGAGGGACCATCTGCAACCTGTGGGCTAGTTCTAAGGACAGACCAATGTTTGTGTTGATTATCAGCTGTTTACCCTATTCTCTCTCTTCTGTTGACAGAGTCCAGCTGATGTGACTGTTTCTCAACCAACTCATACGGCCAACGGAACAAATGGGTAAGGAGAGAGGGACCCTGTATAATTGTACAAAAAAAGGAAGTTATAGTTCCTTCTTTTACTTGTATACTTCCTCTTGGTACTGGGGATTTCTCTATTTATCCTTGGCACATGTGTAAGTGTAACTACACTTTTTTCACTTCCTCTGCAGGGCCTCTCTCATGTGCTTAACCTTACAGCCACACATTTTCACATGTGTATTGGTACAAGTAGCACCGGATCAAATCTATATTGACAGATGGTCCAATATTGGCAAGTTGCAGCTTTACTTTAATTGCTAATGGATAATGCCAGGGTCGGTTTTCACTCTTTAACCTTTTCACTTTTTAACTTTTCCATTCAAAGGTCGGCTTAGCTACCGTTAGGGGCTGCATTGGCCAATAATGTCAATCTTCAACCAAGAAGTTTGTGACGGGACGTAGTTGTAATGTCCAGCTACCTCCACAACAACAAATCCAATCGCTTTTTTAGTTCGAAGGTTGTACATTCAAACCGCCAGTTACAAGTCGCCACTATGCAACTGACAAATAATAGATTGGTCATGTGGTTTACGAGCGAATGTTAGTGACAAAGGGAAGGAGTGATTAATGGAGGGCTTGATCCAGACTATTAGTGCAGAGCTGTGATGTCAGTGATGTAGCCAGGCTCTGCTCCACTCTGTCTCTGGCATCATGCCCTTATCATCTGCTCAACACCCCCCATCCACAATCTCCACTGTACATCTGCAGACTCAAAGCCAGTGAGTCACAAAGCTCGTCTTTTAGGACAATCATACACCGCACATGCAAGTAGAGAGCTGCCTCTGGAGCTAGGTTGTTGAGCTGAAGCTGGGACATGGTGAAGCAGTCACACAGGCCACACTGTCTGTTGAGAGCAGGAAGGGTCGACGTGAGGAGGCAGGTTGGCAATCTGGACTGGGTGAGTCAAGCCTACATCAGCAGCACTCCCAGAAGAGGTGTGGCTTGGATCTGTGCGTGTATATGCGAGTGTGTCACTTTGACAATATAGTGGTGGTGGTTTTGAAGGGAGTGTGTTAAAAGCCATGGCTGTAATCATCACACTGAGTGCAGAGATTAGAGAGTGCAGTGCTGGGTCATTACCTGGCCAATGAGTGGACACGCCCAGGAGTTCAGCCGTATGGAGGGAAAGCAAAGCCAGGCTCTGATAAGTCATGGCATTGTTTTATAGTAAACGGTGTCATATAAGTTTATCTTTAGTCACTAGTCATTACAAGGCGGGCAGCTCTGGTTTGCTTTGTACTTTTATTGAGTTAAGCCACACAGAACGAGACATCAATCGGAAATATTCGTTTGAAAAACGAGCCCAGATATGAAGCTGATTCATCGGGGGAATTTATGTTTGTTCTACCAGACTGAGGTTAACATGGTAACGCTCAGATCATTCGTCAGGCCCCCTCTGTCAAAACACAGTGTCGTGTAAAAGCACATGTGGTGTAGATTTTGGGGCATCTCAGAGGTCTCCCAGAACCCCTGGATAAAGTCTCTCACTTTAAAATGTTGAAATACTATGCTTTTTGTGTATGATGCATTTTGAGTCTCAGAATATTTTTGCTATGTAAATATGGCCCCATGGATCTCATAGGTTTACAATATACCAAAGAGTGCTGTTGCATTACATTACATTTCACGTCATTAGAAAGTATTATTATTACTGTGGACGTATTATTTCACAACATGAATCAAAATATTCTGCCTTCACTCCCGAGCGTGGTAAATTAAAT